CAGTCATACATTTATCCATTAAAAAAAACATTGCTCCCATGGCCTCCTGACAAAGCTATATCACCTCCTGTGATTTCTCATAGCAAACACAGTGGGTTGACTTCTTCTGTTAGTTTTCTTTCCTTCCCAGGCTCTCAAGGTTTGCTTTTAAATTAAATACAGAATAATGTTTTGAAGTTCATGACAGTGGGCAAACCTTTCTCCACAGGAGGGATGCAGCAACAAAACCAGTCCTGCAAGGTGGTGGCCTGCCTGTCTGTGCATGGTGAGGGCTGTTCAGCTGCACTGAAGCCCTGGGTACGTGTCTGAGACTATCAGTCAGGACACCAACATTAGTGGTAGGGCTTGGCTTTTGTGATACGGTTCTTTGCCAACTAAAAGCCAGGTTGGGATCACCAATCTACTCACCACAAAACATCTGGAATCAAAAGAAAACAAGAGATTTAGGTACCTGCTAAGCTAAGCCACATATAAACCAGTGGCCTAAGAGCCAAAAGTGCTAATTTCTGAGTCAGCACATATAACCACACTCTCTTTTCTGGCATCTCCATCCACCAGCCCAGTTTATCCCTCACATTGCTTTTCAGAGGGAATGCCCTTCCCTACCACACTGGCACAGAGACAGGCTCACTCACAGCAGCAACCCCATCTGCCCGTCCTACATCCAGCAAGGCCTATCACTGGAGAATATATTCTATTCTAGGGTTTTATTAGCAAGAAAATGACCAACCATAAGCGAGTTTTCTCCTGGGACCTTTCCCCACTAATAAATCCATGTAAGGTATTAGTGCCTGCACAGCACCACAGGGCAATCTCACAGCTGCTCTTAAGGCTGCATCAATTCTCCTTTAGAGAAGTAACAAGATCCCTCATGCTTACAAGCAGGGCTTAAGAGGCCCTTGAAAAATGAAGTCTAACATATTAATCAGAGCAAATTTAACATAGTAAATAAGAGCTCATGGTCAAAAAACCACAACTGCTTCTCTATTACGGATTCAAAGCAAAGGAGGAATCCAGTCAGATTTATGTCACTGCTTCCTTGCTCTATAAATAGCTGCGACTGCCATTCTAAAAATAAACCAGATAAATATTTAAGGCCCACTGCTACTTAACCTACTGTTGTGCTTACTTACTGCTTACTGTTGTGTAAATCAGGAATAATATCAATGAGATCCACAAATTTACACCAGAACACTTCACTGAAGTCAGAGGGAAGGACTGTGTTTCCAGCAATAGCAGACAAGTCCTCCCGTGAACACTTCACTGTCAGCTGGCTGAGCTTTCCTTTCTCCTGACCTACAGATCCCTTCAATAGCAATGGGAAAATAAGCATAGTGTTAAATACCAAGAAAGCTGCTATAGTCCTTTTACCTAATCCATAAGATAAGACACAAATACCCTTTAAAAATTAATTTCTCTATTTAGTTTTTATGCTTAGCCTGAGCAAGGACTGCAAAAGGTACCTACTACCTACAGCAGTTTAAGAGAAAGAAATATTCCTAGCAGAGTACAATCTAGCTCAATATCTATACTTGTCAAATAAAATAGTGATTACCATAAAACTACTGTAAAAAGAAGTAGCTATACTTTTCTTTTATAGATAATTTTTCTTCCCCCAAAATAACTCAGTATTTTGCCCATGAAATACTTCAGACTAATGCACTTCTGAAAAAACAGTTGGAGATGAACAAAATAGTCTCAAATGGCTCTTCTGTCTAATTTTAACTCCAAGACACCATTTTACATCAAATAAAAAGACAACATAATGTACCTGATAATAAATCGCATTGTTTGTGAGGGCACTTACAGAACATGAATTTATTTGTATTTCTGGAATAAACATTCAACAGAACCCACCAAAACATGTGAAATTATTTTTAAAAAATATAGTAGTTCTCTGTCCTGACTAAACTAAGGGGAAAAAAAACAACAAACCAAAATAAAAACAGCCCAACAAAACCAAAACCAACCCAAACTGTGCTTAAGCGTGTATTGGTATTGTGTTATTCTGATTGCCTGGGAAAACTAAAGATACAAAGGCTGCCTGTTTTGCTATTTTTCCTTGCTTTTCCAGGAAACCAAATATTAAGTACCTGGCTTACACACCTCCTCCAGCAGTTGATCCCACTTCCTCTGACGTTCACCTCCTACGAATGACACAATCCAACACCCACATACCAGCTCTAAGAAATCAAGAATGCCATTGCTTCAACAAACCCCCATGCACTTGAGGCCAGCCAAAGAAAGATAAAACACCCTGTAACTCTGCAAACAAATTATACCCACTGCTGACGTAAGGAGGGGGAAGGGAGAGCAAAGGGGGCAAAATGAAAATTAAATAAACCATCCTTAGCCACCCGGAGAACACGTTGAGGTTTTAACAGCAGACCTGGAAACTGAAAGTCTCTATTAGCTCTAGCTAGAAAGTAAACAGCAGGCTGCAAGTGGGCAACAAGCATCACCTCGTGGGGTGGGAACTGAACACCTTGTCCTCAGCCTGGGCTTGCAAACGCTGCAGGGGAGAGGGGCTGCCTCCAACTGCACTAGAGCCCGAGGCAGGCAGGGCTTTGGGGAGCACAGAGGAGCTCCCTCCCCATCAGTGACTCACACAGCTGTGGCCTTTTCCTGTGGCTGCACAGGCCAAATCAATCATCAGCAGTGAGTACCTGGGGTCTTTGTGGAAGAACAAAGATTCAGCAGCACAAAGAGGATTTGGTATCACATCAAACATTGCAGTCAGCCTTTAAGCAGCTAGACAAGGGCATTGCTGAAGATGTTAAGGAGTGTTTTAGGGGCCAGAGTCTATGGGGTGGTGTAACCCAGGGCTCCAAAAGCCTGAGAGGAAAACACATGCTGTGGATGTGGCTCTGCACTGCTTCCCTGCCTCCTTCCTAATTTCTAAACTGGCAATTTGTCAAAAGCATGGAGCTGGAGAGCTCTGCATGCTACATCTCAGGAATGTCACCCATTCCTGGTACCACCAGCTTCGCTGTCTGCCACAGCCAAGTCTTTCCCTGAGCACTCCCAGCCAAAACCTGTGCTCACTCACCTCTACCCAACTGAAAAGATCTCAGAAGGGCAGAGCTTCCACAAGCTGACCTGCATCCATAAGGGACCTCTTTCTTCTCCCCCTTTTCAAATTATATTTGTGAGCAAATAGGTAAAAATATTGCCTTCAAGCTCAGAACCCAAACTTTGGCCTAAGCAGCAGCACCACCATTTAGGAAACCAAACAAACGGGAAGCAAGGAAAATGCTGCATAATTACTTAGAGCCACCCTGAAAGAAGGGCTGTGCCAAAACCCTGGAGTCCGTTTTATTGAGGCTTTCTTACTGAGGTAGAATACTGCCTAATAGCTGCTGCATCCTGCTTGAGCGAGTATATTCTCCTTGGAAATCAAGCACAGGTTTCTAATAGTTTTTGACAGAGTGCAGTCCCCTAAAGCTACATTTTCTGTCTGATTCATGCTGACTGACTGTAACCCTACAACAGTTATTGAAAGTTAATTAGCGGTGAAGTGGAAAGAGCTCTAGAAATGAAAATACAAGCACGAACTGAATGCAGAGTTTCTCCCTTCCCAGAAAAAATACCGTCAAGAAGGTTAACATAACCGAAAAAATATTGCAAATTGAAAATGTGAAAGGGATTCCTCTAATAACTTGGCTGTGATGGTCCCTTGCTGTGTAGACACACAAACAAGAGGTAACATATTTCTAAGGGCTTATCAGGGAACCAGGGAAGCACAAACACCAGTATTTCTTTCTTCGTCAACTTTGCTTGAGAAAGTGTTTGAAAAGTTACATAGAGACAACACCCAAATTACATAAAGACAAAGATATAAATCAATCGCAGCTTCCTTTGGAGACTGAAGTTTGTCAGATGTTGCACGCGCTATCAAATCCCAACTATTTTTGCCCTTATCCTCCACTTCCTCAGTACTTGCAAGGAAAAATCCACAGTTAGATGCGAGCCCAGCCAGCGCCAAGCGGGCGTAGGAGGTGAGGCGAGGAGAGCCGCAGCCCTGCACCGCCCACTCCCTGCAGATGTAAGCGCCGAGACAAGGTGCGAGGCAGTGGGCAGCACCCTTCAGGTGCTAAAAAAGCCCATCCTGGCACCCCCAGGAATTGGATACAGCCCTACACAATAAAAAATAAAACGACAACCAACCTTCATGCAGACAAATAGCATTGTTTAAAGAACATGGAAGGGAACCCATTGTAGCAAAGCAAGTAGGTTGGAAAAGCCAAATGTAGGGCTTGGTACAAAAATAGACAACAGTGATGCCAGAATGCCTTGGCAAAATTGTGTTTATTGATTTTCATAGAATAGGAAAAAGAACTCCAGCCCTTTCCACCCCTGACTGCTGACTGTGACTCACAAGTGATCTAAAATGACTGCAATGAGCAAGCAGGGACTGAGCTGAGTTGGACCTCGCTTGTGAGCTGACAAGGGAATGATGAAACCCGCTCCAGGCTCTCCCTGTGGCTTCCTAGGAAATACAGGAAAGCTGTGGACATTCACCTCCATCAAAGCATCTAATAACACTCCGTTCAGGGAAGTGCTGGGTGGGCAGAGGGACTGACCCATGTGTGTTGCTCAGCGTCTGACTCAGCCACCGCTGGTTGCCAGCACACCTGAGCTGGCCTTTCCCTCGGGCTGGGTGGAGAAGGGGCTGGGGAAGAGGTGCACAGGGAGGCCGGTATTCACTGTCCCATTCAGCTGCCTTGGTTGAAGTTTGGAAGTGTCACCAGCTGTTCACGTCAGCCTTTGGTTTGGAACCAGTCTATACCTTGACCAGGCAGCCAACGCTGTGGGTCAGCTGGGCCGATGGGACCACAATCCCACGCTTTTGCTGAGCTGTTGCATTCGATGGTTTTCCCCCTTCTATCCAAGCGCACCCTCTCAGCCCCACGGGAGCCTTTAAGGCAGAGACCTACGAGAAGCCGAAGGTGGGGGGTCACACCCCAGACGGGCCGCCCCGGCCCCCCCACAGGCGTTTGGGACATGTTCGGGACATGTTCGGGACATGTTTGGGACACACCGGGCGGGGCCGCAGCCCCGGGCCGCTCGCGGCGCTGCGGGGGGCGCAGCCGGCGGGGCCGCACCGCCCCTTCCCCGCCCTCGCCGGCCGGGAGGGGCGAGGCGGCACCGGCGGCCGCCGCATGGGTCCGGCGAGGCCGCCCCGCCGCCGGGCCCGGCCGGGGCCGGGGCTGCTCCTCCTCCTCCTCCGGCTGGCGCTGCCCGGGGCGGCCGCGGGCAGCGGGGAGGCGCCGCCAGCAGGTACTGCCCGTCCCCTCCCGCCCGCGGGGCTGCGCGGGGCAGAGCGGGTGGTCACAGGCTGGGGGGTTCTCCAGCGCCGTCCCTTTGGTAACGGGGAGCGGGGGACACGCTCCGCTCCCCGGTTTCCCTCGGCCCCCGCGGGTCCCGCTCCCGCCCAACATGGCGCTGCCCGGCGGTCAGGGGGGGCTGCGCCCCGCCGGGAGCTGCGGGGGATCGGGGCCGCCGCGGCCCTGAGGCGCTTTGCCGTGTGCTCCTGTTGTCCCTTCGCAGTTCAGTTTCCACAGGACTGTGCCTTGTGGTCCCCGGTGGGACGGGCGGGCAGGGCCGCAGGGACCCGGCCCGGCAGTGCTCGCACGGACAAAGGCTCCCGGGACACAGCGGGCGGGCGCGTCCGTCCCGCCCCAGCGGCGGGGCTGGGAACTCGCTGTCGGTGTGACTCCCTCTGGCCTTCTCAGGGTCAGGGGAATTCGATGCAGAACTGATCTTTTATTAACATATTTGAGGGCAGTCAAAACCCTGAAGGCTGTTGTGCTCAGTTTTAGTAGCAATACGGAACTCGAGAACCTGCTTCCTCCTTGCGTTGACGTCCTGAGCCTTGGGCATCCACCGGATTCTGCAGCAGACGCTGATTGCTCATAATTTCAAATTTCTTTTTTTGTAATCTCAGAATTTTAGAGTTACCTCACCTGTATGTCCCCACAGTAGATAAAATTCCCTGCCATTTCAAGAGTTACCTATTCAGAAGCATCTTTCCTTTTGGAACATGATTGTTTCACTCTATGGAGCTGATGTAATGTTTCAAGCAGATTAATTTCCTCAAGAAAAATTCCTTAAAACGAAGCGGAGAAAGAAAATACTTGCTAGTCATCATATGGATGACCTTGCTTCTGACGTGGATGGATAGCTTATCCCTAGTGGCAGAAAATCCTAAGACACCCTGCAGGGAAGGTGTGGGCACTCTGGGCTGTGTTTTGTCCTTCTGGGAGGGTATTGCCATTTCCTGTTACTGGATTATCTTGGGTTTAGCCCTGGGTAGTGCCCAGCCTCGCCACCTTGCTGCGTCAGACGGCAGCACCTCAGCGACAAATGAATCCTTTTGCAACTTCATCTGATGACCTTTGTGGAAGTGCCTGTCTAAAGATACAACCAGCTTTTGTCTGAGTGGTTGTGTTCCCTCCCACTGGATTTGCCATGGATGACAATTAATCAGATGGTTAATTTTTCCCCAATAAAAATGCCCAAATTTTCAGGTTAAACCAATTTAGCAGGATCATGTGTGAACACTAATTCTGGAATGCTGTAATAAACTTACGTAAGAACATCCATGGTGTTTTTCATTGGCTTAATTTAATTGGTTAAAATATAATTTAGCCTAATTTCATCTTCCTTATAGAGACACAGCAGGTTTTTACCTGCAAACAGTATCACCTTGTCCAGATTGAGACTGTTTGCACATACTCATTTTGCTGCTCTGAGTGTATGACAGTGTGTTAGCAGTTATTACCGAGCTTGGCTTAGACCTACATTTTTTATTCTGTAAGCCCAGATGAGTCCCTCTCTTCAGATCTGTAATTATTTCCTTTATTCTTCTCTTTAATTATGTTCCTGGAACACTGCAGTAATGCTCTGTGGGGTATACTTTACACATTTATGGATTGGAATGTATGTTATTCAAAGTTTGCTCTGTAAATCCTTTAGGTCCATTTCTGCTCAAAAGTGCAGCCTTAATTCTGAAGGTCACAGGGGCTCATTAAGGTTTCAGGAGGGTTAGAACAAATAGCATCCCTAATTCAGTGTGAGCTATCAGCGCAGTTCCCTTGTTATATGCCGTGGCTGGACTGTATCAGAAAAAAAAAAAGTTTTAAAAAGAAAAGTTGCGTTATTTAACATTAGGAACATTTCCGAGGGAGAGGAGTATGATTTCTGCGCTCAGCAGCCGTGTCATGTGCTAAATGACTATTTTAATATGTAAGCCTGTTTACCTGCTCAGACTCCCACAGTTGCATTCACCACTGGTACAAGGAGCTCCACTGGAGTTACGCCCACTCGTGCCAGCAGTGAATTTGGCCCAGAGGCCCAATTCCAGTGCCATCAAAACACTGATATCAAAGCCAAGAGTTTCTGGAATACAATTCTTTGGTTGTTTTTTTTTCCTTCAAAGGTGTTGCAGTTTATTTTGGAGCCTAAATTACTTGATCAGAAGTCTAATTTGAATTTTCATCTGAATCATATTGAACTTGTCTCAGCATATATAACAATGGAATGGACTAAAATGATACATTTGAATTTGATTCATGCTTAAAATTAACGTTTTTGCTCTCTCCTCCCCAGGAGGAAACTGTAGCTTATTGCAGGAAATGGATGTCATCGAGAAACAGGATGAAAACTGTTACTGCTACGTGCAAAACAGGACCATTCACTTACAGTACCTGTGGTCAACTCTTCAGGTAAGAGGCCATGTGGGGATCATTCAGATATGCAGCACATTTCATGTGAGCTTTTACCAGCAAAGTGCATGGTCAGTTAGCAAGATCAGAGCAGCATCTCTCTGTAATTAGTAGTTTCAATGGTCAGACCACGATAAAAGTGCAGTGTTATGATATTATTTATTGCACACCTTTTCCACTGATGGACTTCTGTTAACCTCTGCAACAAATGCTGTTGCTTATCACCAAACACCTTTATGAAATGTGTACATTTGAAGACAAAATGCAGTTATGACACACTCACTGTGTTAGATATTACTGGTTTTGTTAGAAATTTGTGTGTGGGCAAGTGTCATCCAAACTCGGTGAGCTTTTGGATGGACTGAGGCCTCTCCACTGAACTTTGCTGCTGATGAGTTCTCTAAATCACCTCGTAAGGTGATTAACTGTAAACGGTTAATCTTTGCATAATGTAAATAACCAATATTAAACAACTAAGATTGATCTTCATTACCATATGTATGGCTTATATGCCATACAGCTCAGAAAAACAAAACCTTATAGTGATTCTGAGCTACTTCTCTGTGTATTCTGTTATTTGTTTCCAGGTAAAAGTTAGCAGCAGAGAAAAGTTCAGGTTTGAGCCTATTTCAGAAAAAAGCAACTGTCGGAATTCAGAAACTGTTTTTGAGTTTGCTGCATGTGCTGTTCAAATCCTCTGGAAGCCAGAGACATGTACAGAAACTTCCATGAGCATAAAACAATATGGAGAGGATGTTTGTTTCAAAATACAGCCCTTCAAAACTGTACCGTACACTGTGAGGGTGAAACGAGAAAGTAAGTACCAAGGCTTTCAGTTTAGATTACAGATAGCTTGGTATTGCCAGTGCTACTGGATGTGCCACCTCTGCTGTAAGAAGCTTGGGACTTTTCTGTTGATATTTTATTTAATCAGCATTTCAGATTGAACTAGTCTAAAGTCAATTTCTATTTTTCTCCTCCTTTTTTTAGTGCTAGATGGAAAGCTCTTGTTTTTGTTTGTAGCTGGAATTTTTCTGTTCCATTTTGCAAACAGCCTGAGCAGGTGAGTACAAGCTGCTTTTGACCTTCTTTCCCAAAGCCTGTGCATCTTTGGTCTGTTTGCTAAGCTAAAGAGACGGTTCTTTGGGAAAGTGAAATAAGGAACTGAACATATATTTAAAACTTCTTCATACCGTTTGTGTTTGGACAGATTATGACACACCTTGGAGTGCTGCACTCCATTACTCACTTAGCTGTGTTAGGGTTTTTGTATCCAAGCTTCCTGCACTGGGTGACACCAAGACAATCCTCAGTGAGCCACTGTGTGGATTCAGAAGAACCCTCTCTCCCTTTTGTAGACCAGTGAGGTTAGCTGAATGCTAAATAATGCTGCATATTAGCAACGATGCCTTCCTGGGGAGAAATGCTTAAGATGAAGCCATCTGGGGCCTCTTCTGCTTCCACTTTTGTGCCACCCTTTCCCCATCACGTTCTGCATAGCATATAAGGGAGGATACTTAATTGTTATAGCAAAATACGTGCCCCATGACTTCAAAGCAAAATGAGTCACAAAATAATTGTCAGGAGGCACCTCTAAAACAAGCAGAGCAGCAATAGGTTTTATAGTGTTAACTGTGAATTAGTAAGTCAGGCTTTATAATAAACAGGCTTAGAAAAAAAACCTGTGGGTTTGTGGAGGGTTTTTTACATTCTAAATTAAAATAAAACCTCTCATGCAGTACACAATCGTATTGGTAGATAGAAGAAAATGAAATAACTAAAGACTGGGAGATCAACAAAATCAGAAATAGTGTGAGCTTATAACAGTTTCCTACCTTATAACAACTCCAGTGACCTTTAGCATCTGTTGGGGATTTTTCCTTCCATAGATTTAATATCTGAACTGGGCCTGTTAACCATATAAGTACAACTCTAACTTTCAGCTGTGTTAAGTTCTTATTGAAGATCACTGCTGTTTTTACAGATGTTGGCATCTTAACCAATTACAAATTACACTTCTCACCATATTCTCTCTTGTTCTCTTTACAGGAGTACCAATTTCTTTTACCTTTCTGGAATAATACTGGGTGTTCTTGCTCTGCTAGTCCTTGTCCTGTTGACACTTAAAAGGTTTATTCCAAGGGTAAATCTACATTTATAAAACAAAATAATAATAGTTATCATAATATAGGAAGTGAGAGTACAGAGCCAGATTCTGACCTTGTTCTGGTTTTGTGGCTGGGTGACTGCACTGGAATGACTGGAGGATTGATTGCATCAAGTAAATATAGTTAGGTCAGAATCAAGTTCTAGTTAGCTTCCTCCTGGGTTTAAACTGAACAGAAGATTGTTGATGTACAAGATGTTGATTCTGAAACATAAATTATTTTTACTGGACTGGAGCTAAGCTTACTTTTGAATCTATGAATTAATCTAAATAAAATTACAGTTTTAGTGGCAACTGGGACAGATTCTCTTCCATTCACCAAAGGTAATTCATTGCAAGGCAGATGTGAATTTATCCTTTACTTTTACAAAGCCTGTGCATTCCCTTAATATTACTGAGATATATTAATTGGGAATACACAGGAATAGGCTTATACTGTGACACTGGGACATGATACACAAATAGAGATGCAGTTGCTCCACTTAGCATTGATACTGTTTTAGCGTGCAGGGGACTGTGCAAGGGAAGTCTTGGTGCGAATCATAAACCCTGAAGGTCTAAAGAATATCACGTCTGCTCTTGCTTCTGAGTCCCTTTGCAAACAATGATCCTGACTCTGACTTGAAATTTTTTGGGTTTTTTAAGTTTTTTTACTTTTTTTTTTTTTTATTTTCAGCACAGTACCTTCTGGATCCTAATGAGTGGCTGCTGGATGGCCTCTCTCTATTTTATTTACTGCTTCAAAGAGAATATGCAGTGGTTGTGGTCTGAACACAGAAACTACCTCTTGGGTAAGAAAATTATCAAAAAATGTGTTGCAGATTTTGGTTTAATTTAGTGGTCAGATGAATACCTGCCCATAAAAAAGAAAATCAAGAGACTCACTTATGGAGTACATTTTTCTCCTAAGCCACAGATGTTGAGATATTCCAAAGGTTCCTAATCCACTCAAATGAGCACTTACATTGTATTATTAAATAAAGAGTTTGAGGTAGTGGACTAGAAGTTTTAAGAGCAGATTTTGCCAGTATTACTTGTACATTGATTTCCCATTACATACTTCTCCTGTAAGAGCAAAAGGGCAGCTCCTCTGCTTTTGTACTTCACTACATGTGGAAACTGGATGCATAAATTGCCAACTGGAGGTGGCTGCAGGGGCTGACAGACATTGATCCTGCATCTGCCTCGACATTGTCACATGAGGAGAATTCGTGTGCAGGTCACAGCATTAGCTAAAGGCTGTTCATAGATCACCTCGTGATCTCTGCAACGCAAGATTCGAGCTGTATTTCACAGCAGTTGCAAGCTTTGTGAAGCAAACAGATGAAGTTTATGGGGTAGTTTGCATCTCTTTCTCCATGTCCTACTTTTCTATTCCTGCAGGGTATTTTCTGGCTGTTGGGATCACCAGCTTTGCCATTTGCTATCAGCACGGGCCACTCACCACTGAACTCAGCATAACCTTGTTAACGTGGACGCTGCAATTAACAGCCTTTGTCTTGATTTACTGTGGTGTCACCATACCTCAAGTTGCATATGCAGTGATAGCAGTCAGCCTCTGCTCCAAAGGCCTGTGTTACCCCCTTGGTGCTGCTTGTCACATAGCCAGGTTTGTATCTATTTGTGAATGTCCAGGTCCCGGGATCACCAGGAAATATTGGAGGCTGTTAATGAAAAAAAACTTTATACTTCAGTAATGATTTAGGAATCCCTAGTACTTGTTCATATTTTTGCCAAATGTAAAACTGCAATAGAAAAGCTTTAAGGCCCTGAGAGACAGGAATTACTTTCTATTTGTCAGTTTTAAGCATGAGTTTTGTTTTATGGATGATGGAGAAATGTGGCTGTGCTCTTAAGGACAAATGTAGCACCTTTTAGTCTGCAGCATATGGTAATCAGAACATTTCTGTCTGGTTGATTAGACTGCAGCAATAGTGCCTTGGCTTCACATGTAGTGAAAGAACCTGCAGGTAACTTGTATGGAATCTTATGGGATAAAACAGTCCCATCACCAAGGAAGCAGCTGTTCAAAAGTAACTTGTAGCATAGAGTTCAGAGACTAAAACCACACGTCCACAAAAAAAATGTTTTCCATTTAGTTTTCCGAGGTTATTACCTGAGGTGTACCTGCCTCTCTGTTTCGTGGCAGCAATCTATTAAAACCATGGAGATATTCCCCTATATTCCTAGGCCCCATTTACATTGTGCCATTTGGAATGGAAACTGCTTGCACTGGGTAGACCTTAGTTCTCTAAGTATTTTCATTAGCAATACGGGAACAACGTGTTTGCTCAGCCTTGGATTTGAAGCACGTTTTATCACAAGTGCAACACTCAGATGAAGATTCTAAAAAGCCCTACCAGTTTACATCTGTTTTTCATTTTCAGTGATGGCATCCAGGTTCAGAGTCTTTAGTGCAGACTGTTCTGTAGCTGTGGACTCTGCTGAACCACAGAGAATTGCAAAGAGGCAAAGGCTAGAACTGGCATAAACAAAATAATAAAACCCAAATTATTTGGGTTTTAGTTTTTTTACACATTTTTTGCCTTTGAGGAACATATTGTTCTGCTCTTGTGTTCTTTCTACATGTTGAAGTGTGGACTGAGTTGAAGCTTTTTTATTTTAGGTAGAATTTCTCATTTGTAGGCCAGTTTTTGCCTGCAGCTGAGAAGCTCCAGCTGTTTCAAAAGCAACATCAATAGTTACCTGACGTAAGCAGGTTCAGCAACTTTGAAAGCAGTGTGATGTGGCCACAAGTTCACAGAACATACCTGTTTTACTCTGAAACACTGGAGTTTATTTGTCATGTGGTTCTGGTTTTTGACTTTCACGAACTGATGCTTCTATAAAGAAATACAGCTCTACAAATCTCTCTTAGGAGAACGATTTTCTTTTTCTGTTTAAAAACACTAGGCCATAGCACTGAACTGTGAGGCCATGATGCCAGATACACAGTTCAGAGCTGGAAATATATCAAAGTAACTCAGAATCTTGCTTTATTTGAGGCAGCAAGACCCTTACCATTTGACCTGAACAATGGCTACAGTTCTCTCTTGCTTTAGAGGGAAGTAAGGAGGAAAGTTGAATGCTGCTGTTGGAGCAGGTGTTTTTATGCAGAGCTGAAAGTTTTATGGGCAGCCAGCCCTTGCTTATCTTAACTCATCACAACATTTAAATTGAAAGCAGTCGACAGAAGGGAACGGAACATGGCACACTTTCTAATTTATATCTAATTATATTATACATCGCTACGCAGCAGCTAAAAAAACATCAGATTGTAAACATTTTGGCCTCAGACTACTCAGTTTTGTAATTTAAAGCAAGATTTAAGGGAAGCAATCTAGTAAACAACATGAACAACTCATAACAGTCTTAGAGCATCGCTTATCTTTGAAGTAACATATGCAGACTGGGTTTTGATTCAGCCCCTGTCTCTGCACAGACACATTTTGCATTTTGCACCTAAAAATGGCTGAGCAAGCAGCCATCTATTTAATTCTATGAGATTTTAGTCCATGCATACACAATAAGGACCTGATCCAAAGCTCATTTGAAGCTCATTAAATGTAATTATGTGAAATGTTATAGCTTCAGTCAAGACTTAGGGTAAACAGGTAGCACACATTACATTCCTTGCACTCAAATGCAAAAATGTAGCTTGTCCTTTTAAAAGGATAGAATTATTAATGCATGTTAATAGCAGGTAATGGAGAAAAAGGGCAGATAATAATTATGTGCCAGAAGACTTTAGAAATACCAGTTGTTTTCATTTCTTTCTAGAAAAATGAAGACTCACTTTAAATCAAAAAAGTTAGTGTTTAAATACCTGACTGAAGAGGAGTATCGAGAACAAGGTGAAACTGAAACTATGAGAGCTCTGGAGGAGCTGCGCTCATTCTGCAGGAACCCAGATTTCCCATCGTGGATAGCTGTATCCAAACTGCGGTCCCCACACAGGTAAGAAAACCTGGCTCCTCTAAATCAGGAAACTCATTGCACAGCAGACCTAAATGCCACTTCAGGCACTGTTCCAGGTGAGTTTATCTTGCATATCCTGCTCAAGACCACAGCCACACCTCCCAAGGGTATTATTTGCTGGTGGTATTAAATCTCTATTTGTTCCTCCCCGGCCATAAATTACTCTTGAGAGTTTGCAGACATTCACAGCTAAATGACAGTCATAAAACCTCCAGCCTTCCTGGAGTGCCTCTGTAAGCTCCTACAGTTTGGCTGTAGGAGCTGGTGGCTCTCTGACCAGGGAAATGGCCCCCCTTCAGGTTCTAAAGCAGTGCACTTTTTTGTGGTGTAAAATTTGGGCAGGCTGAAGATACATACTCAAATATTACCTATGTTAAGCTCTCCAACTGCAAACCTGGACAGTCAGGGAATCCTATTACTTGAAGTATCACTAAGACTAAGAATACAGAAAAAGAAATCAATGCCTGCACCTAACAAGGGTAACAGGTGGAAGAGCTATGCCATGTATAGCTTAAGAGACAGAGTTAAGACAAATATGGGTCAGGAAGGGTCAGACAAACAAAGCCAGAAAAGCTTGCAGAATATAAAATTAATCATCATAACAGTGTTTTCCCATCAAACCCAAAACTTAAGATGTCAGAAACAGAATTTCACATATTAGCCAGCCACAAAGACTTAGTTCTTGCCACAGAACGAAGTGTCACAATTTTAAAGGAGCTCCAGCCAGCTTGGATTTTCATTAGTAACCAGGTAAAACCAGTTTCAGAACCTTAATCTTCCTTGGATGGGCATGCAGAGAGCCTTTCTGCGAGATCTTATAGATTTACAGTTAAACAGTCTTACTTCCTAAGCTGCTTGCATTCTCTAGCATAATAGATAAAAAAGTGAAAGCTTACTGCAGTATTGTACAACCAAATACTGCCAAATGCACAAAACAAAGAGTGGAGACACGTATTTTCTAGACATCACTTTGTTAATATAATTCTTATAAACTGTTAACTAGATAAGAATACAAAAATAAAAAGGAGAACCAAAAGATTTGAAGCTGAGTCCCCCGTCAAGCTCCCATTAAGCATCAGACAGTAGTTCATCGCAAGGCAAACCTGTAAACCAGCCAGCCCAGAGCTGTTCCCCATTTAGACTAACAGAGCTTCCAAGAACAGTGAGGTGACAGCATTCATCTCACAGCAATGTTAAGTCTAAAATGTAAATTATTGATCAGTTTACCAGAACTCCAGAATGTAGCTGCATTTCCTCTTTCATACATTCCTCTGATGCTGTCGACACTTACCCAGGTGTCAGAACTGCCGTCTGTTCCCTCACGCTTGCCAGAAACCTCCAGTTCCATTCTCTCTCTTCAGTGGAGTTGTCCACTGAAAGTAGGATTTGTGGCAAATGAAATGTAGGGACAGTGCTGATTTTATGCTTTCTTCTGCCAGACCTCCACTTTGGCATTTACTTGGAGCAGCTGCAGAATTCCCAGCTTGTAGCTCCAGGAATTCCTTGGCAAGACTTGAGCTCAGCTTGCCCACAGTGTGCATGCAGCACCAGAAGCAAGGTGATTGCACAGCAATATAGGAATGCAGAGTTCTCACCGTATTTCATTTCATTAGCCATACCCACTTACCCAAATTCTTACAGCCTTTGTCTCAAATATGCTACAGCTTTAATTTATTTTAGAAGCTGAAGTACCACTTATCCAACTGTACAAATGCTTACTCTGGATTACCCCATTAGCACTGACAGATGAGAAAATGGAAGTTAGGTCTTCTTGCTTAGTCACAAGACCTTGTAGGATGGCCTCCAGAAAAGCAAGTTACTTCTATAGAAAAGACTGAAAAGGTGAGGCAGGAAAATCAATCTGCAGGGTCGTTGCCATCCACTGTTGCAACTTCCCCTCACCTGCACTGCCTGTGAGCATGTCCTTAAAACATCTCTGCTTAAACAGCAGTATCCCCAGCATTTACAGTTGTGGGTTTGTTTTGGTTTTTTTTTTTTAATTTCTCAGCTGATCACTTCTCCCTTTAAAAATTTGGCAGGTTTGCAGATTTTGTTCTGGGATTTCCCCACGTCTCACCTGCAGAAGCAAAGGCACATGATGAGGAATACGGCATTGGGAGCTCCTTCCTGGAGGAGCAGCTCTTTGAGACAAGGGCACGGCCTGAGCAGGATGATCCAGCCACTTCCATCCATGAAGATGAGGAGAATGAAGATGAAATGCATAAACAAATTTCATTTCCATATGCTACTGAGTTGCTCTGAGCTTTGGGAAATAACAAAAAAAAAAAAAGGAGAGGGAAAACACGTTTGTCCTAGAAAGGAAGGATACAGGCTGAGAACTCCCACTTGGCCATTTCTTGTGGTTGCTGGTGGACAAACAAGGATTTTTGAAAAAAATATTTCCTGTATCACTGATGTTACCTGGTTAGAGCAACAGAGAAACCATCGGGGCTGATCAAGTGAAGAGGAATCTCATACTACTGGTATTTTAACTGGGGAATCAAACATGGCAGGCAGCAGCCTGTCCCACCAGGATGCCTTGTTTTACCAAGGATACTACCTCTAGGAAACAGGGAACCTGTTTTGTCTCTTTCCGTCCTCAAGTCCTCTGTGCTGAGCACTAGAGGGAGAAGAACCAGTTTTTAATACTCTGCTTTTATTAAGTACACTATGTGTCAACACTTTTATTAATGCCATTAGAGTGCCGATAAACTGTGTTTATTGTGAGACTTTTCATAGAGTTAATGCAGTTGAACGAGGTTGGTTTGCTCTTCTGGCTGGGCTTGCTGTCTGTTACCTTCACTCTGCCTCTCCACTTTTAAGCTCCCCTTACTCAAAACCCTGCCTGACTTTTCACTCTCTGCCCGTATTGCTCCATTCTTGTTCTCTGCTCTAGTTAATGCTGCATTTTGTTCTATGTCTTTGTTTATTTACATACTATTCTTCCCTCTTCTATGGATACTTCTGCTAAACCTCTCTTCAGCCCTCTGCTTCTCCATCTCTGACAGTGCAGATGATTTAGGAGAGGATTTTCATCCCCAAAGGTATTTTTACTATTGCCTTCAGATTCAGCGCCACCTTACCTCAGGCAGGTGCTCTGTCCATTCCAGGCCTCTCAACAGCCCAGAAAAGGCCACACAGGCTGAGACTGTTTCAGCTGCTTGGAGAAACTGCTGTCAGCAGGGCCAGAGTGTTGCTGTGACCATGTAATTAGGAGTGAAGATAAGCCACACAGAGCTCCACTCCCCTCAGAGTACTCAGTAGTTTGCTCATTCAGTAAGAAGCAGAAAGTCATTCCTGGCACAACAAGGGATGATACCTGACTCCTACCTCCCCTTCTTCAGCCCTCTGTGGGACTTCTCACAGGAGGTGTGTGGGCAGGAGAAGACAGAACAGGGGGAGAAGTTTAGGCAGTCAAATGTCTTTCAGCTTATGGATTACAGAGTCCTAGGCTAAGGAGTAGAACGTGTACCTTTTGTTCATCCACCTGCAGAGGTCATTTCCTTCTTTTGTTCTTTAGACTATCCCTGTATTCTTATGTTCTCACCTTGCTGTTTTCCTTTACTGTCTTCCAAACTGCAGAAAACAAAAGACCATCAATTCTGTCACTGTCTGCTCTTACAAACCTACCAGGAATTGCCAGCAGTAGGAAGCAGTGCTCCAGAAGGGTATGTCAGACTGGGATGTATTTGCTTTAGAAGGGGTACCTCTTCTTTTTAACGTGCCTCATGATGTAGCATGACTTCAGCAGTGCATGTGCTGTCCTGGGTTTTCATTGTCCATCGCTGCACAAGGAAGACAATCTCTTACCTCTAACAGTGCTAAGAAGTGGCAGCCATCCCATAGTTCAAGAGCTCCTTTGTATAACACAGGACTTGGAATTGGTGCTCAAAAGCCTTACTTCCATGGTTCTTCCTCCTTTACATTGCTTCACCTTGCTTCATTTTACAAGGAACAAACACTCCACTTGACAGTAAAGAGACACTTAACACCCTTTAGTGCCATAAATGTGTAAGGACCTATGCAGAATCTATAGCATGTTTAGCAGAGAGAAGCCCAGTCAAGCAGGTGATCCAAAATATACTCACTGTTAAGTCCCTAACATTCAAAAACAGAGCAGGAGTTCTGTTCAGGAAGGCCACTAGCAGCAAGACTCACCCCTAAGAGAGGCTGCTGCTACCAAATCCACAGCTAAATTGCCATCCACACTCGGGAAGTCAAGCTTGGATGGGGGCTCTGGCACTAGCAACAAGCTGTTGCAAAAATGGAGGAAAGCCTCATTATCTTTGATGGCATAGTAGACTAAATGAGATGTATTTTACCTTTGTCTGTGTCACCATTGTGAAAATGAAGTACTTAAAATTACTAGAGATTATCCAAAGGATACTTGAAGATATGTCAATGTTAAATGTTTTATGCAGGTTTTTAAGTACACAGGTGTTTTTTCAGTGCACTTCATAGTTAGCCAAGAACTCCCATCCATGCAATTTGAGGCCAAGGGGGAGAATCAGATTTGTCCAAGCTTATACACACAGTTTTTCTGGATGTCCTCTCTCTACTGAGGTGGTGATGATTTTCCTTCCATAATATGGGGGTACGTAAGTACATATTTGTATGATATAAGTACATAATATGTATTTATATACAATAGCCCAGATTATGCATCAAGGTAGTATTTTACCTAAGCAATATGTTAAATGGAACAGCTCCCCCAGTTCAGGCAATTACATGTTTTCAGACACTGTCCCTTTTTCTAAATTATTTACAGCAATACCAGGTACACCTACTTCAACAAGGAAAAATTAAAAAAGAAATTAAAATCAACTCATGTTTTGTGTAGTTGTGAGATCCATCATTTGGCAGGGATGGGTAAATACTATCCAAAGTAGAGCAGGAAACTACTAAACGCATGCACCACTGAAATGCAGCAACATGGGAAAGATGATGGCTACTTTAGTGGATATCTAATACTAACCTTAAAAATCCTCACAAGCCTGTTCCAACACTGGAAGCATTTCATAAACAAAACCCACCCAAACCAGCTGCTGTCACTGGAGCCCTTTGCTGACAGTGAGTTCACTTGCACAGTGCTCCTGTGATAAGTGGAGATTTCAGGCTTACTGAAACACAGTTGTTAAGTACTGTCCACTGTTCAGCCAGAAAATCTGGGAAGAGAATCTAGATATTAATCCACTGCCTTGTTACAAAAACCTTTCTTCCTTAACAAAGGATGCTACATTTATCTTCTGTTTCACAGTGTTTACAATGATGCCCTGCACACTTCCATACCAACCACTTTATGATGCACATTGGTGTGCATCCCTCACATTCCTGCAACCCACAGAAGGGAATTAGTGCCTACAGTCAGATTTTATTATGAAACACTGCTTTAACACAGTAGTTCCCAGGCTCTTGGTTCAGTCCTCCACTGACCTTAGTAAAAGGTCATTATCATTGAATTGTTTTCAGTTCAGGTGGTTATGTTCACTGCTGACACTGTAATACGAGCAAATGAAATAAAGGTTCAGGTTGATACTGTTAAATACGTTATGGATATTTTATATTTCTTACCACAGTTTTTAGAGTTCCACAAATATCAAAATCCAGATGTACATGTCCATTTTGCAACATAGAATGACTATACAATTCCAAAAAGAGCAGGCATTTCAAATACACAATTCTGAAGTGTAAACACAGTGTACAAGCTCTTCACTTCACAATCCAGGTGCTATGCAGTAGCAGCTGAGGTAACACCGTACAGCATGAACTCAGGAAATGGTTGGTTAGCCTCAAGATGATTTTTAGCATCCTTCTGTCCTGTCACCTGTTCAGTCTTTAGCTCTCCCCCAACTTATACAAACATAAAATAAATACATTTCTTATTTTAAAGGACACTTAGACAAGTCATGAGGATTTACGTGAGTACAGTACATTTAGGTTCAAGTGCAAAAAAAGTAACTAGTGGCTAGTCATTGATGTTTCTTTTTATTGTCTGTGGTGTTGGTCCCAGGCACTGCCAGAACGTGGGTTGTTCTAAAAGCACAGCTAAAGCACAGCTACGGGACACCCCTTCAGTCAAGCTCACCAGATGTCAGAGTGGGTGAACCTGTGCACCCCCTTTCCTGCTCAGCTGCTGCCATCTTCCTCTCCCTACCCCTGGCCTTGCCTCTGGCTCCCTGCACACTCCCACAGCACACACCTTCCTCACGGAAGGCCTGACACCTCACGCACATGTGACTTCAAGGAGGGCAGAGCAGAGCTCCCTCAGTCCTTTAGGAGCTGAGTGCTCAGAATCCCCCAGGAACAAGCTGTTAATCTAAGAAAATGGGCCAAAACACTATCCTGACTAAACCCCTCCTGACTCCTCCCTGAGCCCGAGGATTTCCCTCCAGCAGCAATGTTCACCATGCACCAGCACGCAAGCTGGCTGCAGTTAGTATTGAGAAGCATAACAAAACATAATCCAAAGTCCTCCAGTGTCTTGACATTGGGCAAAGTAACTTCTTAAACATACTGCAATTGAGTTACATTTGCTTCCTCCTGAGAATCACTCCCTCTACTCGATTTCTGCATCAACTACTTTGCCCCTATAATTCTAAACATTAAGATTTTAAGGTGATTCCTCCCTACCACCCCCCACCTTCCCTAGGCACTTAAAGCTTACTGTTTTCTTAATAAATAACCATAGTAACTACACTGCATTAAATAAACCCTTGTATAGATGATGAAATAAAAACCCAAGAAGACTGCATGTCCGTCAAAACCCCTGATCAATCTCAGGCTGTGCAATCTTGATCAAAGATTCTTGTCTCAATACAACATCAAACCTAAAATTGCCCAAACACACACAACCTATACCCAACTGCAGGGCTGCAAGTGCTGAGAGTAAGTTCAGAAACCTTCCTCCAGCTTTTGTGTTTCGCTAAAATGCCAGTTCAAAACCTTTGCTTTGCAGAACTAAACCTTTATCTCAAACAAGAGAAATTTGGCTTCAAAAACATATTCTTTGAATATGTGTGCGGTTTACTTAATCCGTCACCATAACACTGAGATACACTTCCTAAACCTACTCTGTTTCTGAGAAATCTTTACAAAAACAGTTTCGTGACACTTCTATAATTATTGGATCTGGTATTTTCTAATAGACTATTCAGGGAAACTCGGTTTCTCTCTTAAAAAGTCTCTTCATTTTGATTTGGGAATAAATTCAAAGAAGAAAATTACCCAATCAAGTCAGACACTCTGTGCCTCAGCAAGTGAGGAGTGAACTCCTTTTTTTCTACAGATTGCAAAGAAATCTCATAGCACTTGACTCAGCTTTAGCAAAGCAGCCAAGAATTCTTCCTACCATTCTATCTGGCCAACATCACTTCCCTCAAGAATTCCGAACTTTTGGCTTCCCTGCTCATGTTGCTCTGTGTAGTCATATGAATATTCTTTATATAGTTAAAAGCTTGCACTGCATCACATTATGATTGTTAAGATGAAGGAAGTCCTACTTTTGAGCTCCTACTCCAGCGTTTCCCAGGTGAGAAGCAGAATTCCATGCACTGGATTTGATAAGATGAGTGCATCTCAGGGCCCTGCAGCAGCAGGCTGAGCATCATGATCCGACACAACACGGCTGCCGTCTACTTGGGAATCTGATGTTGCTGTAGGTGTTGGTGCTGAACAATTTCCGGACTGCCCAGAATCTGTCGGATTTTGGGGTTGTCTTGCTGAGCTGGCTGATGAAGCACTGCAATTCTCATTGATTTTCTAAAAGAGAGGGGAAAG